CTCCCCCCCCCACCCCTCCTCCCTCATATCTAGATAGATGAAAAGAAGTGATAATAAACGCCTACTTGCAATTATTAGCCAACTAGAAAGGAAATCATTTATCATGTGCCCAAACTATACATAAATGGCTTTATTCTCTAACAAAAGAGTTAATTGAGTTATAAGCTTTCCCCCAACAATAATTCTTTCAGAATACTGAAAATTCCTTTTGGAAAATCCATGGGCACCAAGCTGCCAATCACGATGAATTTGAAAGCAAAAAACTTATAGAATTTTTTGAAAGTAAAGTTTTTGAATGCCTTCTATGTTTTCAATGTCTAACATTGCGGAAATAAGCTGATTTCCTGTTTTGCCACCTGAATGTAAATGAAAAAAGCAGATATCACACTCGTAGACTTCAATAAGAAGTGTCAACAGGTTGAGAACCAGACGGTGGACATATTCTTAACTCGAAAAGGGTTGCGGAGGAATCATATGGTAAGCAGTCTGCTATAGTCAATCATGAGTTCAAATCATCCCACACACCACATTCCTTGATTTTCTAAGTCATCAATGACATGTAGGCTCTTTAATAAAGATAGTTTTGCTCCGTTTTGTTCATTTTTGCCATTTTGTAAAAATGGTTCATAAAGAATTATGTTGCATGTCGTTTATCGGTTAATTTCCAAAGTCTTTTGGATGATAGAAACAAAGCGTCCAATAGCTCATAGGTTGGAAAAACACAAACACTTTAAAACAAGAGGAGAAGGGTGGGAAATTATTCAAAAGAGGTTGGAAACCCAAGGTATGTGGAAATACTGTCTATAAAATCGTGAACCCCAATCCCTAACCAAAAGTCCTTCTATTCAAACTCAATCCAAAAAGAGTGCTCAAATCAATTTTCCTCAGCCTGAGAAAGAGCCAATCAACTCTCCTAGCCAATCGCAAAAAGTATACTCTCTATATGAGATTGACATCTCCGAAGAAAGGAATAAAGAGGAGATCAAGACATCGGCAATTATCAAGTTCTTAAGTGCAATCCCGGCTTAAGCAAAACGCATTGCAAACCGACGAAGAAAATTCAGGCATAAAGCTGAGGTGTTACAAAGCCCAATCAAATATTTATATGAGAAAATCTTTATCCTCCATTCTCTGTCATCAATTTTTGCTCTCCTACTCTCAAACGTACATATGTAAACGGCAGCCAATGGTATGATATTAAACAATTCAGTTATTTATAATTTATTCAAACCTCTGTAATCAAATCTCTTTTGACGAAACACAATATCTGAGTTACTCATCTTCTTCAGCATTCTGACTTCAATTTCAGCAGAGCTTTACCGCAAAAAGATTAACTAAATTTTTAAAATTAATTCAATTTAGCACTCCGAATGCTCACTAATTTGTTACCGATTCGCGGAAATATTTGAATTAATTTGAGGATATAGGTTAAATTCACTAATGAAAGTCATAATAATTTTCAAGATATCGGATCTCTCATCTAGTAGAACATTTATTTTTTTAAGGTAATTCAAGAGTATCCAGGAATAGGTTTAACCCAAAGTATGAGCTCTTGCATTATTCACCACAGTTACACGACCCCACAAGTTAGTAAAATGTCTCGCCTTTTGAATTTTAAAGTCTTATCATTAATTTGTAACTCAGATTTTGCTTATTAACCAATGATGTCTACTGAAAATTGATAATGCTATTAGATATAATTGGTATAGGGGTAACTTTGGGGAGGAGGTTGACAACGTAGTTTTTCTTGAAATTAAGATTAAAAATAATTGTATCTGGTTTTGAATTTTTATAAGACCAAGCCGAGCAAGAAAATCAATATAGATTCAGATCTGAATAAATTTATTATTGAATGCCTTTTAAACTTTAATATAATATGCTAACTTTTTATCCAGTATGTCAAAGTAATTTAACTAATTAGATGCTTCGAAGTTCCATTTTTCACTATTAAATATAATTGGAACGTTTGGCACTGTTATCCTCCTGTAACCTTTTGGGGCAGTGGAAATTCTTAACAAAAATAAAATTGCACTGGGATCATGGCTTCAATTCATGCAACCTACTATGCAATACCGATTTTACCAACCATAAATATTTCATGGAATTTAGTTACCTTCAACTTGAACATTTTTTTTCAAACTCTCCTGGCTCATTATTATCTCATTTAAAGCCCCTGAATTTGTTACTATACCCTTACTTTCGTCATCAGATAAAATTGACCATTATTCCTCAATAAGCTGAAGCAAACAAACAGAATATGCCAATTCTTCTTACTTTTAAATTCGCCTTCAACTTCTGCCAGAAGATCCTCAATCAGCTGGTTTTTACTTATACCCAAATCTATTGCGGTCACTGGATATCCATAAGCAGTATTTGAGGCTGAGAGACTTTCCTTCACAGCCTCCCATTTGGTATCATACTGAACAAGCTTTTCTCGAACGCAGTCTAGCTCAGGCCCTGGTTGAGGCATTGGATAAAAGATTTGTGAAGAGATCGGCGGATCTTCGGGGGGCTCAGTCTTAGCATCATCATCGTCCGAGCCTTCACTTCGGCTATGATCCGTTTTTGAAGGTTTCGTATTCATCATGTTTTCCATTGCTGGAATATCATACCCTTCTACACTTTGTATAGGTTCCAAGCCTAAAACATGCACAATATTTTGAATTTATGAAACCATTCCCCACGAACAAATCAATTTCGGGTTTTCACCTTCAAATGGTCCGTAACCAATTTTGAAAAGTCGATGAATCATCAATGCACGATCACCAAGTTCATCTTTCAGTTTAAAGATATGTGTTGGCATAGGATCAAGTGAGATTTTTTGACTTGCAGCTTCGTCGAATCGTTTTTGAGCCTTTTCCAGACGAGGATCAGGCTGTTCAGCCCAAGGATTGCATGATTCTTTTGTTTTCTGTGGGAAACCCTGCTCCTCGTCTTCTTCTAGGTTCTCATCGTCCTCCTCTTTCTCCTCAACTTCCTCCCCAACTTCTTCCTCGTTAGCGTCTCCCGAATCCTTTCTCAGTTGTTGGAGAAGGTGTCTGATCTTTTGTAGTGACTCGTAGGCTTGTCTAGTTGAGTTCACTTGTTTGTGAATTTGTTCGGAGCGCTCTTTGATCAACTGCCAAACCTCTTCTAGTGGAGGTAGGCCTTCTATCACCCAGTTTAATGGTCTGGTTAAATAGATCAGAGGAATTTAAATATGTATCTTACACATTAGCCAATACTGATTGGTTAGAAAGTGGAGAAATAGGATATATCTTCAAAAAATACGCAGCTATAACCGGTCAATTTATCATTTTACATTTATTTATTACCATTCACTTTTAAATTCATTAACAAAGCGATTTATATTCTAGTTTGATTATATAAATTTAATGTAAACCCTTAATCAAGAAAAGTAAAAGGACCTCCAAAATCGAAATATTTGGAGGGAATATTATCAGGATCACTTTTGTATCAAACTTTCCAATAATTTAAGACCGACAACTTTTATTTCATTTACAGTTCAATTCAAAGAATCTTGAGAGGGTTTTTGCAATCAAATAATCAGCATCCATTCAATCACAGAAGAAGCAAAATGCGTTGGAAAAAGGACAAAAGTCCAGCCGAATAATCTTCTGCCATTTATAAGAAAAAGGGGACCTGAAAATCTGCTTTGCCTCTGAGTTAGCTTTTAGGTTGAAAAATAAGCATGGCATAAATTTTATAGGAAACTAAAATAATGGAATCCAGCATACAATCTGATGGTTCAATGCATCGTTTAGCCATTTGTTGCCTATCCCTAACCCAATGACAAGCAATGGATTACTGGCAAATTAAAATGGTAGTTTGTACAGATTTTCAATGGAAAATAGAAATATATATTCCATTTTGTATTGGTAAGCTTGCTATTGAACGAGCTTTTGTGCATGGGGAGTACACAACATTATCACCTCTGGACAAAGTAATCTCATTTGTACTCAGGCTGGAAGGTGTGATCTTGCAACTCCTAGTCGGGAGTAAGTGCGGCGAGAGCGCAGAGAAAACAGCCAATCGCCAAACAATAGGCCTCATTTGGTTTATCAAACCTTCCATATTAATAATAACAACTGAGCTCATTGTCCGTACACGCACACGTCAGGGTCACCAAAAATTGACCCGTTCCGAGGGATACATCTGTTTCTTCTATAGCTTTGCAAAAATAGGAGAATCTGCCATAGAGGTTTCAAAGTAAAGTCGAGGCTTATTAGTCTAGTGATCCGCTGCAAACATCAATTTTTTTCTGAATTCGACAGGGATGGAATATGAGAAAGTGGTAGAGTCAAGAATTTGTGAGTGAAAAATTTGGCTAAACTTTAAGTTTAGCTACTTACTTATTATTTATTATTTAATATACTAAATCAATAAAATATATTATTATACACGTACTGAAACAGAGAAGCAACGATAAATAGCAAAATGCATAAAGTACCGTTGAGTCCACATCTTACGTAGATGTTGATCATATGTTTTCTCAATATTAGATATTCAATGTAATGAATCAGGAACATTACTGAAGTAATCTAATAGTTGTATAAATCTCACCTTCTATTTTCGGCCTCGATATTTGCGTTCTCTTTTTCGAGACGTTCCAGCTCGGCAACGAGTGCTTCTACGTACCGGTTGGGCTCAAGATAGCAAGGCTGAGCGCGAGCAAACTTCAGAGCTCTATCCACGGCTTCCACGACTTGCGGATGCTGTTTAGTTATGCATTTCTTTAAACCTGGGTGCGATTAAAAAGTGCTACTTTACTTGATACAGAATGTATTAATAAGTGTAAAAACAAATTTAAGTAACACAAGAGGAATGGAAACATGGTAAACGC